TGGAAGTGGAGACTGAAGGCTTTTTAGAATGGAGACTTGCCTCTGTGCTGGCCCTTCACTACTTTTGACTTTGTATTTTGAGTTTAGTGACCTTCATTCCGGCTGTTTTGACATTTTGAGCCCATGTGGTGCCGGGCAGTCTCTTAGAGAAAAACAGTAGGTGAGCTCTCCTGCAGCTGAGCCATTTGGAAGAAAGCCTGGGCTCTGTCAGGCTGCCACACTTGCCCCATACGGACCATCACCAGAGCCTGTTTCCGCTACCGCTATAAGCTCATTGGCTGGACAGAGATGAGTGAGAGGTCCTGAGCCAGTGGAAGATAAAGCCAGTTGAGTGCTACTAGTTCTGTTTCCTGTTTGAATATCCGTCCTGATTGCCTAATGAACTCCCAGTCTGAGGGTAATTGAGCTGCTATTGTCCCAGATTTGAGAGAATGTCGAAGACCACCGTGTCAGGGGTAGCTCTTCGCCCACCCTTTAGCTCGGGTCTTAATGTGTTCCTCACGGGGTTTTAATGCGACCTGTAATACCGGTTGAACCGAGCTCCGTGGTCCCATAAGTACCTGCGGAGACGGGCAGCCGGTCCAGCTTCTGCCTTGGGCCCAAGCCCACCGGAGGTTTCGCCCCATTCCACTGTCAAGGCCGCTGCGGCCCAGCGTAGGCCCCCGGACCTTATTCTGTTGAGCTGGAATTGTAAAGCCCACGATCGAGGCTTGAAGCAAAAAGGTGAGTACAGCGCTGAGGCCGCTACGCCCGCCCCCAGAGATGACGTTACCACTCTTGCCAACGATTGGCCTGGGGGAGGCTGCTGCAGCCAATGGCCCGCCTCGCCCTGGGCGCGCCCATTCGATTTTTTTTTTTTTTTTTCCTTTTTCCAAGTTCTTGTTATCCTGAGTGCTGGTGCGGCCGACAAATTTCTGAGGCGGCCAGAGGCTCTATACCCCGACGTTTCCTCGAGGTTACCCACCGGAAGGACCTATTTGAGGAGGTGGAGGGCACAGGGTCAGGATCAAGGTCAGAGACTCCACTGGGTTGGGAGTGAACGTGTAAGTTATTAGGAGCCCAGGCTGAGGTCCAGAAGCCTTGGTCGCAGCCAGGATCTAGCTTCAAAGGCTTGAAAATGCCTTTGAAATTCCCATGAAACCGAACATGGTGTTTAGAAAAAGTGGTGTTGCTTTATAACACCAGATGTGTCTGTGTCCCCATTTAAGAGTAAGCTCCATGAGGCAGACATCTGTCCTTACTGGCCCTGAGTATGGGGTTGTTAAAACAATAAATGACTTTATAAGGACCTGTTGCAGTTTATATAAACCAGTTACCATCCAGTTGGTTCCAATTCATGAAGACCCCAGATGTGTTAGAGCAGAACTGTCTCCAAAGGGCTTTCAATGGCTTTTTTATTTGTATTATTGTGATTTGGGTGAATGTTCACAGAACGAATTGATTTTCCATACAGCAGTTTATACATATTTCGTTTCATGACATTGACTGCAATTCCCCACAATGTAACAGCTCCCTACTCACCTTTTTCCTGTAGTTACCTCTTCCCTGTGTCCTTCTTTCCTATGCATTCCTGACCCCTGAGCTATCTCTCTGTGTAAATACTGCCCTTCTGTTCCCTCATGATTGAGGGAACTCTAAGGAGTAGATGTAAATGTAAATGTTCATCCTATATGCCTGTCAATTGTTTGGCTGGAAGCCACAGGAATGAGTTCAGTTCCAGACCTAGTAAGGGGCCATAGTCTCGGGGATCTCACCAGGCTATATGAGACCCAATAAGCCTGGTCTTTTTTATGATTCTGAGTTTTGTTCCACATCGTTCTCCCTCCCACTCTATCCAGGATCTCCTGCACTGATCCCTTTCCAAGGTATGGACAGTGTTAGCTGGTCACCATCTAGTCTCATCATTCAATGGCTGCTTTTTTTTTTTTTTCTTTTAAATATGATTTGGGTGAAAGTTGATAGAGCAAATTTGTCTTCCATACAGCAGTTTACATACACTTTGTCTCATGACATTGACTGTAATCTCCCACAATGTAACAGCTCTCCTCCCACTTCCTCCCCATAGCCACTTGTTCCCTGTGTCCTTCCCTCCCATGCACTCTTGCCTCCCAGGCTATCTCCCTATGCATACACAGCCCTTCTATTCTCCCATGATTGATCTCTCCGAGGAGTGTATCTACCTAATGTAAATGTTCAGCTCATATGCCTGTCTTTTGTTTGGCTGGAAGC